ACAATGCTTTAGTCATGCGGTTTAGAGTTTGGTAGCCCAGTGAGGAGCACGGAGTTGGGCTCAATGATCCCTATGGATCCCTTCCAACCAAGGTATTCTATGATTCCATTAAATAATCAGAAGGAGTCCTATGGTATGAAATATTTCTTGTCTCATTTTTAAGACTAAAATAGTTTCAGAACTACTTAATATTTTGTATGAATACTGTAGGCAGAGCTAGAGCATTTGCTGGTTTTGAAATTAGTTATCAAGCTTCTGAATGTTTCCAAATCTTACAGGTTTTTGATATCTGTTGTATGATCATATTTTAATGGTGTTTGGTTTTAAAAATCATACATGGAACATTTATGAACATTTTTTTCCTTTCACACTAGGTCTAACAGAAATGGTAACTAAGATGCAGATGTACTTCCTTCAAAATGCTTTGTACTTGGCATCTTGAAAAACTTAGTAAATTGAATTATTTACTTATCTTTTCCATCACACTTCTGATGTTTGGTGCTTCAAAAAGACCATATGTTTTTACCTGTTTGGGAAATATAATGAAATAAACTATACTTTTAAAGGCCTGTCTGCCAGGTTATGATTTTCAAAGGCACAAAAGTGATTTGGGAATATGAATACCGTTTCCAGAAGTGAGTTGGAGGGCATTAGCATAGGTTAGGTTAGCATGTGTTTGCTGAGGAGTAAACACCATGTGCAAATTCCAGCAAGAATTATAGTAATTAATTCAGTTTCATCAAGGCTTCTAAACCAGAACTGTATACATGTCAATCAAAATTCTTTAAATTAGGAGTTATGGCTCTCTAATAGAAAATTAAGAAGGCAACTAGACATCTAAAGTTAGATGATGTCTGAAACACTCCATAATAATTATTTTGTTTGTGATTTTACTTTTCTCTCAGCATATATCAGTTTTGGGCATAAATCAGTTTGTTTTTATGGTTCATTTTAGAAACAACAAATGAAGTTCCAGCAATGATGTCATCTCTGTGGAAAAAATTAGACTATACACTTTCTCAGATCAGGTAATGTAGTTTTGAAATTAAGAAAGTAATACTTCACTCTAAAAGTGAGTCCCTATGTAGACCAACCCCCCCTTATCATTGTATGAGAATGGTTTAGCTCTCTGTTTCCTTTGAGAGACAGTGAAAAAGATGGGTATGTTAGAGTTGGTAGTTGAGCAGACATTTAAAGATTATAAGGCGGGCAATAGTGTGAGCGTGTTGTCTTCCTATAATAAAACAATACACTATGACTCATTTAGAATCTGATACCTTTGTGGTTACTTGATCAAAACTGAAACAGTAAGCTTCACTTGAAGGATCTGTGACGATTGTTGGAAAGAATGAAAAGAGTAATCAATGGGTTTTTCTGAAGGAATGTGTGGTTAGGATCAGACTGACATTAACCATGTGGTAGGTAATGCCACACTGTGTAGCTGAGTGCTTCCATTATGCTCCATTAATTTCTGTTACTTGCTTTATTTTTTAGGAGCATGCAGAATTCAGATTTCAGATTTTCTTCTAACCAGAGGAGTAAGTAACTGAGTCAATTCAATGGAATCAATAGGTTTTCTGTTAAAATTATCTGTTTTGGCAAAAAATAGGGGCGTATGTAATGCATGTCTCTTGTCTTCAGTGTGGTCTGTGGATTGCTGTAATGAGCAGGAAAGGAAAATAAGAAAAGCTGAGCTTTTTGCAAGGGGCATAAATTCTCTATTATAGCATTTTCTCTGCTCAAGAAACCCCTTTGGAAGTTTACATGGTTAAAAGGTTTAAAAACTACTGCTTCACTCCTGAAATTGCTAACTTAATTTGTGCTTCATAGATGAACTAAAAACATAGCTGGTCTAATTATAATGCAGTTGGATTTCTGTAGAAGGGGAACATAAAAACATATTGCAGTCTTGTAGCATTTGTCATACATACAAATATATATCCAGCCAAAATACAAAAACATACTTGTTGTATCTAAAGTTGTTTCTTTCATTACAAAAACTGAAAATAAGCTATCAACAAAGAAAAATTGGTTTACTTAAAAATAAGTTTTTCTCTGTAGTATTTTTACTACAGAGTATTTTATAAGAAAAGAGAGTGTGAGATATAGATACTGATTGTTCCCAGATTTGAGATTCATTGGATTGGGTGGTGTTCTGTTGTTTAAATTTTTTAAACAGATTTTGTATGAATATCAGTAATTTTTAGAAATTCCTTTATCATATATTTTCATCCTGTCTTTATTTCCAGTACGTACAAGAAGTGGAATTGTAGAAATGAAAAGGCAGAGAATGCTTCAGCAGTCAGCTACTGCAAACTCAGGACTGTTGTCAGTAGCCCATCAGTCAGGGCAACAGAATTCCTCTTCTTCTGTTGTACCTCCTCAAGTAATTCACAGGCCGACAATAAATCAAAGCATGCCGCAGACAAGACTGACTACACTGCTTGTGAACCAGTCACAAGCTCAAGAAAACAAGATCAATGGTAAGTTGCAAAAAGTTTTAAACCTTATTTTTCTGTGAAAAATCTATGGCTATTGGTGGAAGTTTTCTAAAGTCAGGGCTAATCATCTTCCACCAAAAAGCTCCAGAAAATTCATGCTTTGTTCCCCAGCTCTCCAAACTGGTTCAGGTGATTAAAAGAAAATAAATGTCCAAAAGAGAGATGGCTCTTGCATACTTGCTTGCCAATGTGAGTTCAGAAATCAGAAGTGCATTAATTTGTGGTTATTCTGTTCTCTGCTCTCACCCTCACCCAAATAACTTGTTTCATCAGATAGGGATGATCCACATTAAGTGGATGTCTATTTCAGGATACGTCTAAAAGGACTGGTCCTCATTTCCATGATAATAACAAATTATTTTGTATGACTTTCCAGGAATTGATTGGAACATAGTAAGCAATGTGTAGATTTTGTAGAGCTTTGACAGTGTCGCTGGAAGAGGTATTGGCATCATGACTTCTATTTTTGTTTCTTTTTCTATGTAAAGCAGGAGGTCTCATACACATTCAAGTTCCAACGTCACAAGAACGAAAGCTTCATTCAAACTTGCTTTCTCCAGGAAGACGAAAAGGGTAAACAGGGATGTGGGTTTGGTTTTGGTTTTTTTGTTTGATTGTTTAGAAATTAAACAGTATTCTAACCTTTGCTGTAAATTTTGTTCAGTGATGAAATGTTTCAAATGTAAGATCTTGGAGAGGGGGCCAGTGTTTGATGTTTCACAGAGGAAAGGGAAATCAAAGAGCTTAACAGCAGATTGATAGGAGGCTACTCATGCTTCTTTGTGTACACTCTGTCTTTACTCCACTATTAGACATAGGCAAATAATCTTGGAGCTGAAACTTGGTATTCCTTCTAAAATGTCCTTTTCAATTATAAAAATTCTTAATACTCATACAAATTTGCATTTAGCTTTGTAAAACTATTGAGTAAATTTTGTCAGAAAAGTATTAATATTTGCACTAGAAGTCGTGTGAAAAACTTCTCTTACGCTAGTTTTGCATTTTTTATTCTCTGATTCAAATGTCTATTTTTCCCCAAGTCTTCCTAATCCGTCTTGATTTTTTAAATGTAATTTAGTGCCACTGAAAATAGATGTTTTCAGAAGAACCTACACTGTCTCCTATAAAAACATTAATTTTCCTATTTATCAACTAAATTCTTAACAGAACTTAAGATTTGTTTTCTTCTTTGAAAAGAAGTGCTCCTTGAGAAGTCTTTGTTTTCAGTGGTAATGCCCAAATCTGATTGTGAGTTGCAGTTGACTACTACCAGTCTAACTGGCACCACCAGTTAGAGTACCTGTAGTGGAGGGGCAGTAAATGCTGAATAGTGGGCATGGAATTCATTCTGCCATTGTGCCATTTCCCTACAATCTCTAAATTTATAACTTCTCTAAAGGCAGACACAATAGATGCATAAGAGATGACAAAACAGGTACCAGCTTTTACTGCATTTTCAATATGTAGTTAATTTTCTGATGATTAAAATATTTTTTTTTTTTTTTTTGCTAAAAAGGAAGAGAAGCACTTGATTTACTCACCATTAGGTCTACTGTTTGCAATTTTCTCATAAACTACATCATAAATTTCCTGGTATGTTTCAGTGAATCTCAGAAGAGGAAAAGTATTGCAACATCTGGACCTCTCTCAGCAGCTAGAAGCTCTCAAGACTCTGAAGAAGCAGTAGTAGAAAAAGAAAGTGAGCCCCTAGAAGAGTTAATTGATGGTAACTTCCCAGTGAGTATATGCCTACAGAAGGTATTTAGACTTAAGAAACAAAGTCAAACTCAAGAGAACTTGTCTTAAACATGTTGTTCTTCCTGGTTTTTACAGAAATTACCTTTAGAAGATAAATGAATTGGTTTGTATTTGAACTAGCTCTTGTGTGTACTAAATTCGTAAAGTTGATATGGCTATGTAGAGTTTTGTTTTTCTTGGCTTATTTGCTTTGGTAAGATACCTGTAGGCTGTCAGAACACAGTAATTCTTTAGAGAATGGAAGCCAGAAGGCACAATAAGCCTCACTGTACTTTAGGAGAGTAGAAGTACATGAATGTTTTACGTTGATTTTCATAGCAATGTAATGCAGTCACAGATGACTCTCTGTTATAAAAGTCTTCTCTCTTTGAATTGATTTTTTAATTATTTTTTACCGGTTAGTCAGAAATTCTTGCTCCTTTTCTAATGATGTTAAAAATAAAAACCTGACCACTTCAAAACTGTTTTCCAGCAACTGGTCATTGAAAATGCCAGAGAAAAAATATTGAGCAACAAATCTCTTCAGGAGAAGCTCGCTGAAAACATTAACAAAATCCTGGGGAGGTAATAAAAGGAACTTCTGAACTTCATATGTTTTCTTATTTGATTTATTTTTGAGTTTTGAACTAATGACATACGTGTTGCAGTGATGGCAGTGTTGCTCAGGCCCCTAAACAGACAGACAGTGGTCCCACAGAACAGGAGACTTCAATTGATGAAATCCTTGGACTTCAGGTAGGTGTAGATTGCCCTGTTCACATTGTTTTTAGGTCCAGGCATGTGAGAATGATCATTTATGGGAACTATGCTGAACCTCTGACATCTGAAGATATTCTCTCTTCTTCCTATCCTTTCTTTTTTGTTTCTGTTTGCCAGCACAGCTGAGCCTCCCTGATGCTCCCCTCTGTGCAGGGGCAGCTCTGCAGCTTCCCTTGCAGAGGTGTGAACTGCTGGGCAGGTTCGAGGAGCTGAGCTGGCAGGACACTGGTGTTCTGCAGGAGCTCATTTTGTGCGAGTTTAGCATTCTGAATTAATTCCCAGTGCCTGTCCAAGGCAGCATAAGTATGCTGCAGGGTCGAAGCCCAGGGAGTGGGATTGTTTCTGGCAGTAATTAGCTGGTAACCCTACACTCAGAGTGGATTTAAGAACTCTGTCCCAGGCACCAACTGCCTGCTTCTCACTCAATGTTTTGTACCAGTAATTGGCTACCAGTTTCTGACTGGGGATCTAATCAATAGCCTTAGAGAAGAAAAAAGAATTTAAAATACCTTGCTGTCTCTAAATTCGTTTAATCTGATCTGATTTTTGATTTGCTCCAAGATAAGTATGGATCATTTAGTGTAGCAAGAGAAATTATTTTTGGAGCCTAAATAATGGTGCTTTGTCTTCAAATTTAGTATTTTCTTGCTTTTGGAGGAAATGTGTGTTCTGCTTCTACAAACTAAACATAATTATAGTGTTCTCCCTTCATTTCTCTGTAAGTCTGAAGCTGGAAACCACAGAATTAAAAAGGATTTTAATGAGGGAAATTTCACAACCCTCATGAGAAAGACAGGAGAGTAGAGGCAGTTCCCTGTTTATGAAGTAGAGGTGTCTGGTTTATAAATGCTGTTCTTCTGTTGCTTGGTGATTTTAGGTCAGTTGTCAAAATACAGAGCTAAAAAGCTGTATTCCATTCTTCTGGGCAAAAATAAAGCAGCTTCGTGGTTTGGTTGGAGTTGCTGATACAAAATCAAGGATATAACATGGAATATCCACCCTTAAGGGTGGAGATATATATCAAAAAAGGTGGAGAGATATATCAAAGGTTGGAGAGTGCTTAAAGGGTCTCCAGAAAGGCAGGAGAAACTTTATATTTAATCACTTGAGTATGTGCTGGATACTCATTTTATTCCTGGGCTTCCACAGAAAAAGAATCAGGAACCTTAGAGCACTGTCCCATGTAGCTGTGCTTTCCAAAATGCTTTCCACAAAGAAGTAGTTGGAGGTTATACTACAGAACATTAAATGGGTATATGGAATAAAATTTCCATTTACTTAATGTTGGCTTCTAGATATATAATATAATCAAACCTAAGAAATTAGCATTAATTTGGGTTGTTTTTTTTTTACCAGTGGTTTGCTTGGTACAGGCTCACAGCATCCATACCATGTGAATAAGCTTCCAGTGCAGCCTGAGATTTAGTCTTCCTTTTTGGTTAGTGCTGGCCATTATGTGGAGAATACTCCAGTACACACGTGGTGGGGGTGATGTCTGACAGACACCTTTGGGTTTTGGAGAACCTTATTTCTTAAGCTTCAATCACTAAGAATTTTTAACAGACATTAAATTTATGGCAGAAACATTCCCAGCATTAGTCTTTATGTTTATGTGCTGAGCAGAAGTAATAGAAGTAAAAAAAAATCTGAAAAGAAAACAATTCTTGTCTGTTTTTAAGTTATTGAAGTAACTGTCTAACAGTTCTGTATATAATGTCTTTCCTCAGGGTGAAATTCATATGTCAGAAGAGGCTATCCAGGACATTCTGGAACAGACAGAATCAGATCCAGCTTTCCAGGCTCTATTTGACTGGTTTGATTATGGTAGGCTACATTGTACTCAGTTGTACTGTTACTGTAAAGCATCCTGAATGATGCGCTTCCCCAGCATTGCTTGACAAAGCAAAGGAATTCAGCAGGCCTCTTGCAAGAGAAATTACATTGGTATGCCTTTATACAGAATTAGATTCTTAGATACATTTATACACAGCTATAAAATACAGCATTTTTCTGTGGCCGATATTCTGGGTTTGTGCTGGCTCAGTTTTATTGCTGTAACTTTAGACACTCCAGCTCTGAAGGATGATAGTTTATACTTGTTTGCTGTTTTAAAATTTTCTGGTGTATCCTCACATGAACCATAAAAAGACCTTTACACTGTGTTTCATTTAAAAGATAGTGATGACATGTATGTGGAAAATTGCATATTTAACCATTCTTCATGCTTTATTTTGAAAATAGGAAAGAGCAAAGTAAACAAGAACCTACCTGCTGGTATTTCTGGTCGGAATGGAGTAGAAAATGAAATCCTGGTGGCTGAGGATAGCCTGGAAACATTTGGAAGTTCTTTAGGAACAGAAGAAGCTAACAGATGTATGGGTTTTTTTCTCTAAGATTTCTCTGTTAACTTTTCATTATGAAAATATTTTCAGACAATTTGCACATTTCAGAATTTTCTTTTTTCAGTGATAATGTCCATGTGGACATTTACATTGCATGAACATACATATACACCTGGCCTGTTACAAAGTTTCAGTCTATTACATTTAAAAGTAGTCCCATCAGTGTACTTAAAAGTTGTACTTGATATGCTCCTTAATGCAAGCAGACTATCAACGAATGGGTACTTCGCAGTATCCATCGTGGAACGCAGAAACAGATTATTTTACATATAACCATATTAATATTTTTTCTCTATTCTATAATGTATCTGTTAATTAATACAGAAAAAAAGTCTTACTCTGGCCAAAGGGGATGTTAGTCTGTCTCCACCATTCTTAACGATAGTCCATGAGTAGCAGGTATTTAGTTAAAGTATATGAGAAGTAGAGCCAAGAGGTTTTTATCATGAGATGGTTTTTGTGCTTCTGGAAATCCGATGTAGTGACCTTAGATATTTACATGTTATCTGTGTACTTAGTAGTAATGTACAAACTGATTTTTCAGATTATCTAGTATGTGTATGTATTTTATATATATTCCACTCAACTTGAACGTAAGGATGAGTAAGATTATTCCCACTTAGTTTCATGGGAAACAGTTTTCCATTGAACTGGTAGTTATTTCTAAAACACTCTAAAAAGGATCATCTGTTCTAATAATTATTGAACTGGTTTATTCTATCTTTTACAGGTGATAATTCTGGAGAACCACTATCATGTAAAGGCTTTCAGTTAGAAGAAGCATCATGTGCCTTGAAGACCAGCATTAATGATGATGATATGGCTAAGAAAAATCCAGCCAGTGAACAGCTGCATGGAAACTGTAAACCAAGGAAGCAGACTGAAGTACTTACAGCCATTACCCCTGAACATATTAGAGAGCTTGAAATTGCTTTTAACTCGGTGTCTGATTTGACTGAACCTAACAAGAGACAGAGTTCTGATAGCAAAAGTAATGAACACTGTGCAGACACTTATGTTACAAAAGAGTCATCTACATTAATTTCTGAAAGTGAGAGTGCTATGGAAATTGAAAAAGACCCACCAAATGATAGTTCTCGAAGTAGTCCTAATTTAGAATATGTTCATCCTGCTACTCCACAGATTCCTTTGATTTCAGTGGCAGAGGATACTATAGCTGGTGAAAACAAAACTGATTCCAGAAGTGAATGTCAATTTTCACCAGACACATCGCTGTCTGAAAAAAGACTTCCTGGAAGCCCTTCTGATGGGAACCCTGGCCACAATGTACTACTGAAAAAAAACAGCTCATCCATTTCTAGCCCATTGGCAGATGCAGGAAAAGAACAGACTGTAACCAGTGATCCAGCTGCCTTGCCTGGTGTTTCACAGGAGAACTCCAGCCACCCCTCTAACCATCAGGACCAGAGCACGCAGGCAGACTGTGCTGTGGGATCTGCAGTGGACATCACAGATGTTGACAAAACAGAGTTGCAGCTTGAAGCTGTTGATACTTCTAACAAAACTTACTCAAATGATCAGCATACACTTGATAAGCCTTGTAAGAAAGATTTTAACCTCCCTTCAGAACTGCCAAACGCAAAGGGTACACAAGGAGAGATGCAAGAACCTTCATCTTCTACAAAAGTAGACACTGATAATTTATATTTCTCATCTGGTGATAATGCATGTACAAATATTTCTGTAGTATCCACTGAAAACAATCTTACTACCTCTGAAATATGCCACTCACCACTCCCTGAAACTGCATCCTCAGCAGAGGAGTCAGGTACTGAGGCCAAAAGTATAAGCAGTAGTCAACCAATGGATGTTGATCCTTCTAATATAATGTCCCTCAAGATCATCATCAGTGATGATCCGTTTATTTCATCAGACACAGAGTTAAATAATGCTGTTTCCAGCATCACAGGAGAAAATTTGCCTACTATAATATTGTCATCTCCAGCCAAATCTCCAACCAAAACTGCAGGCTTGCCCAAATGTCTTACTTCAGAAGACACAGAAAAAACTGTGGATTCAGCTCTGGCAGAGCAGAATCTTCTTGTGCTTAGACCCAAGGATCCTGTGGTCACCTCGGTTAACACTCAGAATGAAGACTGCACTGGTTTTTCTGTTGCAAGTTCAACTCATCTTTCCAACGAAGGGGGATTTATACAGTTGATGCCAGCCACAAGCACAGCTTTTGGGAATTCAAGCAACCTTTACATAGCCACATGTATGACTGATCCAGCAACCTTGGGTGCAGCTGTAACACCATCAAATGTAGTTGTATTGCCTGGCAGTTCTATGCCCCTGGCTTCACAAGCTCCAGCTGTACAACAGTTGCGGACTCCTCCCAGATCCAGCAGTACATTTCCAACAAACCAGACTGTCTCCCCAAACTTCCCACAGGGTAATCTCATTATTAGAAAAGTACTGAAAATATGGTGTTTCTACAGTGGTTTTGTTATTTTTGTTTTTCCCCTAAGTGCATTAAAAGTAAACAATTATTAAACTGCTCTGTCTGCCACTTGAAACTATCCAGGAGTTACTTTTTTTTTAGTATATTAGTTGCTAGTAGAAATGAAATAAAACTACGAGAAGTCATTGATCGGGCTGCTTTGAATAAAAAAAAAAAGCCTCATATTTCAGAAGCTTAACTGATACGATTTTAGCAGCATCAGATGTAGGAATCATGTTTTGGTTTACATTGGAAAGAATTCCATTACTTCGGCTAAATAAAACAGGTTTTTATTTTAATAAGATTCCTGTTATAAATTGAATGCTCTATGTTATAGGTGTCCATATTTTGTGTAGATAACTGGGTAGATGTAGCTAGTCCTTCCCAAATAATTTCCTTGGTTTTGTTTCATATTTCAAACCTAGTCTGCGTTAAAGTACATTTAAGTAAATATGAAAGTATAACATTATTTCTTTCCATGATTTAAAATTTGTACAAGTATCTTTATTACTACAGCAATAAAAATTTTGAGTGCTTTTGGAAATGAAAAAACCCAGCTATAAATCAGCTGTAATCACCACATTTAGATTTCTTTCTAAGAAGAAAGAACTTAGAACTTTCTTGCAGTTACCTTTAAATTTCTGTGTGTAGTCATTTAATTGAGGTCTGAGGCCAGTGCAGTCAGAGACCAGGTTGTGCAAGGTACACACAAGGTACGTGCAAGGTCTTAGGATTACAGCCTTTTCTGCCGTTCGGATTTCTTTACGCAACTCTTCAATGTTTTTTTCATAGAGAGAGGAACAGTTTCCTTTCACTTTTGAAAATATTCTTCCACTTTTCAAATAATGTGCTAGGATAGTTTCCATATTTTATAATTACCATATATCTGATAGCTAAGTAAGATATTTAATGTTACTTTTACTGGTTTTTATAAATGACTTTAATTTAAAGCTTAAACATTATGATGGGTTTATCATACTTTATTTTGAGCTACCTCTTACAAAGGAAAACAGACTTTAACTAAAGAATTCCTTATAAACGAAAGATAAAACTTGTGCTTACCCTGTTTTCTAGTAGTGAACTATAACAAAGGGCAGTGAAGTTTTCCTAAAAATCCAGAGCTTTTCTTGCCACAGGTTTTGACCATGCATAATTTTAAGAAATCCTGTCTTGAAGCTTTTCTTTTCACTGAAGTATCTTTAGTTTCTGTACAATCTTAACACTTTGGTATTTTTTAGGTTCTGCCATTATAATTGCATCTCCAGTGCAGCCAGTTTTGCAAGGAATGGTGGGAATGATACCTCTCTCCGTCGTAGGACAGAATGGAAATACGTTCTCAGCACCTGCCTGCCAGGTAGCACATCACAAATAAAGATGTTTGGGATTAAAGCTGGAGTGATAAGAAGTGCTTTGGTAAATTGTAATAGAATATTTTGATTCTTTCAAGGTTCTTCACATGCCTGTGGCTAATCCAGTGTGCAGTGGAAGTGTCCCAAAGCTTCCCATCCCTCCCAAATCACAGAAGATTCCTGGAGCAAGAAACAAGAATAATGCAGGTGCCTGCCTTGCATTCTTGAGAGGGGCAGAAGAAAAGCAGAGGGTTCTAAGGACAAGTCAGTTCTAAGTAAAAAAAGTTTTATAAATATCTCTGCTTCTATTCCTGGCGACTGCTGGACTGTCTTGAGAGTGGTCTGTGCCTGCAGTTAGACATTTGTTTGCTCAGTTTACAAAGAACATCCAGCATACAACATGATTCCAGTTTTTGCATCAAG